AGCCTTCGGTAGTCACCATAGGGCCTCCAGTCCAGACCATTGTTCTTTGGTACTACAAGCACCCTTCATGGAGTACACGAGACTGAGGGACGGCATCTTTGTGACTATACCGGAGACAGAGAGTCTCGTGGTAGAATCTACCAACCTATGCTTGCCAGCATTTACCAGCAGCTGGTAGTGCTGTAAGAGATCCATACCAATAATGCCGGTGGTCACATCAGCCACAATGAAAACGCAACGGAAGGAACGACGCAGTCCAGGGTCGAGGAATCTTCGACTATATGTTGTGGTGGGCGAGCCTTTGGCGGCGCGAAGTTGCAGAGACATTGGCCGCAGACTCTCTTCCTTCGTAGGTGGAATGACGCTAGCTTCTGTCCCAGTGTCAACTAGGAAGCGTATCCCAGAATGTCGATCAGTGACGAAGAAGAGGCGACATGGAAGTGGTTCGCCAGCGACGTTAGCCACGGTCACGTGCTGGCTCACACGTTTCCCGCCTGGTTAGCCCCGAAGGTGCGAGGTCAAGTGCGTCTTTTGGCATGGGCACCACAACGTTTATGCTACCAGCACAACTTGGGTTGGGATTATCGCGATTTGGAACGCCTGCTACCGGTACGGGAGGCAGATCTGTTGCGCGAGCGAGACGTGGGATCGTTGGAAGAAGTACCAGACCGCATTTCGTTCCTGATGCTGCACAACTCATACAGTTTCGAGATGTGAGCTATAACATCGAAACTTGTTGGCTCACTGCTGAGGGAGGGTATGGGTTTTTGGACGAATCCGTGGCAGTAGACAGTGCAGCTGAGATACTAGTGTTGGGTTTCGTAGCATCCACAGCTCTGTCAGCCGCTTCCGCCAGCTCTATAAGGGACACTTATGGAAGGGTGCGAGGATCCCTTGAACCGACTGTGGTAACCTCTGTAACCACAGTTGCTTGAGAAATGCTTCATCAATGTTGAAGTCAGCAACCAGCTGCTTCATCTGACGAAGCAGTTGCGTCGGCTTACGATCACCCAGATGCACATCCCTGAAAAGTTCTTGCACTTTCTGCTGGTCAGTAAGTGCAACGCGTTTGATGAGGGCGGTTTTGAGGCGATCGTAAAGATTCGGTGCTGGGTCATCTAGCACATCTGAGACGTCTTCGATCACATTTTCCGGTAAGCTGACGATGACTAAGTTGGACTTAGTTTCTTGTGATTGAATGTGCCCCAAGGCAAACTGAGCTTCCACATGGGAGAACCATGCAGATGGTCTGTGGGCCCAGAAGGTGGGAAGCTGGAGGGTTACGGCCATCTGCGCGGTCGAGTCGTTATCCGCCATTGATCAGGGAATTAAAGGGGCACGATGGTAATAATAATAATAAAAATTACAATGCAAAAATAACCAATGAGGAGTGCAATAAAAAAAGAACGCAAGACGTGCCAAAAACAAAATAGGCCAGACAAATCAACGCAAGAGAACAAAGGTACTAGACAAAGTAAGAAGTGATACTCGGGCTCACCAATTTGTAGGGGTGCGTGTAACAATTCCGTAACGTTTGATCAACCCTACTTAATCTGATGTGCTCTAGTACCTGCTTAACCAGTACTTTACCTAACGTGTAAGTACTGATAACAAAACACAAATCAAAAGAACTGATATGCAATGTATTTGAAGAAGCTATGTATTTAATTAAGGTAATATAATAGTAATGGATGGGGAAAAAGTTTAATCAACTTATCTGGCTTGTAAGGCTGAACTAGGGACTCTGAGTAGGTGCGTGGCAACCAACACTATGGAGCGCAAAATGGCGTCCAAGCCTGCTCGAATGCATGCTCGTTAAACAAAACTTAAAACACCGTAAGCATCCGGAGGCGAGCTAGAGGTTTATTTAGTTAATTTAATTCAATATATTTACTTAAGCACTAGTTGAATTTTGGTGCCAGGAAGGTACACAACAACATCATGGCAAGAAACCAGTTTTTATATTTCAAGACAAGATACATTAAAAAAAAAGAGTCGGAGACGCAATGTGATTACCGATTTCTCTACTCCCAGCCCAAACTCTTATGAACAACTTGATCAGTAGCGTTGTGCAAACGTTTGACTATAGCCTGAAAGCATGGTGAAGATATGTAACTGACACATTTACTGTAGAAGAATCGTAACATATACATGGCTTCTTCAGATACATGAACTTGGTGTTATATGGGATTTAATTTACTTTTGAGGTAGAAGGTAAAAAAATAGGAAGAAACTATGTTATGTTTCAAAATAAAGCAAAGGAGAGATGGTGGGTTAGACACAAGTGTCTATAGATAAGCATTAAGTGCTAGTAGATATCTGGACTTCAATTTGTATCACAATACACCAGTAAAGGTGAGCTTATTTAAATGTTTAAGTAACTTAGTTAGGAGTCAATCCAGTTATAAAGAAATTTAAATAGATGACTGAAACATATAAGAGAAGCTTCACTCATAAAAACTGTCCTTCCTAGTTTATTCAAGAATTGATAAAGGTGTATAAAAAAAGTAAAAGCACCGTTGTGAGCAATAGTTGCAGGATGACTGAGGAAGAATTCAAGGCTTCTATAGTTTTCCTATATAAGGAAGGGACAGAAGAAACCTTACAAAGGATTTTATCAATGGGACTGGAATCCCAGTGGTATTCAAGCCTACAGACTTTTTCAGAGAAAAACTTTGTTGGATTAAAGACTCTATCGACTCAATTATATATATATATATATATATATATATATATATATATATATATAGAGGGAGAGAGAGAGAGAGATTAAAGCAATTTGTAGGTTAGATTACATAAGTTCCTAACTAGAAAGAAATCACCTAAAATTTTCATCATTCAAGAGGACTTTAGAAGATATAGTGAGAATTTAAAAAAATCTCTTCATCACTATATTTGGTAACAGAAATCATGAGGATTTCAAAGTTTTATATAAAACTGATGCATCGGAAACTATAGCTCCGTGCTCTTCTCTGTAAACTGCACCCATTATGTACGTTGGAAGCTGCTACCTGTCTGTAGTGATTGAAATACAGAAATTGAATTGAAGCACCTGACTGGAACAAATAGACAGCTTTGTTGGGTAAAAAAGTCGTGAAGCATCATTTGCCACTTGTCTACATGTATGCACTCACAGGTAAACTCATCCATTTTATGTGAGTGAACTGCCTAAAACATCATCTATCAGGTGAAAAGGTAAGGGTACTGTAATGCATATAAAAGAATAACCCTTCTACTTACTGATAATCAACTTATAATTCAAATATCTGTTTAACAAATGGTGTATAATCAGCTATACTAGAAGGTAAAAGCTACCTACTGAGATCGTTGAAACTCTAAAAAAAAGTGTTTGTGAATGTGTAGCAGTAGAAACTTATCGATTATCTGTTATACAAAAATCTACATTTTCATGAAATACCTCATATAAATCCTTTTCCATGCTGTCGATTAGTAGCGGTGGTTTTAAAGCATATTAGAATATTACACCCATAGTATCAAACATGCGGCGGATATATGTAGTTGAATTGAAAGACTATATATCCAGACAAGAAGCATATATCAAGTATTAGATTTCGAAGAAAAGATTGACATAATATCCTGTTTTATTAATCTAATACCGTAGTGGTGAAGTAGCTGATTTATGGTGTTGCCTTAAAGATTAATCTTCCATTTAAAGACTGAATGACGGTGTTCTTAAGACGAATAACAGCTTCCTTTTATGTGCCTAGAAATAACTGCAACCCTATAAGTTCAATGTAAACAAAACAGAGTATAAGAAAAGAAGACTGTGCGGATCCTCTCCTAGTCCTACGAGTCTGAAAATCATGACTGTAGATACATGATAGAACTTTTCTGACCCAAATATAATATTTAAGCCTATTACCTTTAGCGTTTGCACCTTGATGAGGAAAGGAAAAGAAGCAAATCTGTGTAGACCTTGAAGCCTTGCTATTCGCATATATTGGTTCTGAGATAACCTTTAGAAAAACTAATTTTAGTGGTTCGTCTACATTCTATATGTATCGGTTAAAAGGTATATTTCTAAGCAGAGACGTTTTGGAAATAACTAAAGAGGTGATCACTTAATAGCACTAAGTTCTGAAATATTAATGCTGTATTGGTATCTGTTTGTGTATTCGAACGTAATAATGGTTGTCCTCAGGGATCAACTGAATTCAGACACGGTTAAAACAGCTGAGATGCACGGTAGTTCAGCTTCTTTTTTAACAAAAGCAGTGCGACGAAATTTAACATTTAGAGAAGTGAAGAAGTTAATCCTACCCAAGTGCTATTTATATTACCATCGTTCCCCTTAGTCATTATTTTCATTACTACTATAACTATTCAGAAATCCCCCTCTCTGTTTAGCTAGAAATCAATGGTTATCGTAAATCACCAACCTAGTAACGCTCTGACATTTGAAGCAGTGGGTGCTGCTTTCAAGCTTCAGTAGGAATATCACCATTTGCTGGGATCAGGTACATCCAGCTGATGCGTACTAAGTAGAGCGAAACGCACACCCTTGATTCCACTGTAAGCTACCATCAAGTGAACTATGCTACAATATCACTTAACTTTGCGACTTATTTCTTGACTTCCCAGTCTTTTTCATTTTGTTAAATAACAACAATGTCTACACACGAGTTTCAGCTCGACAGATTTCAGGAAAATATTGTAATTGTAAAAAATGTACCAAGAAGTATTTATATCAAAAGCAGGTGAAAACTTTTATGAATATGATACCAATACTGTCTTTATTTGAAGAGTAATAAAAATTCATAACATCAGTACAAGTTAGATCAAATACAGTAATTTTATTGGTTTGGAATCGACCAACTAACTTAGAGTGTAACAGCAACCTTAGATTGGTCAGTGTGAAGATAAAATACCATAACTCCTATTGAAACCACACCCAATATTCACAAGTTTTACGTGATTTTTCCTTTTAGAAAACAAAATTGGAATCATATAGTTCATACAGTAAATCCTAAATTTTAAAAATGACTAACAGACCAATCGTTCCACACAATTCTCGGGCACCAGGAGAAGATTCAGTAGAAAAATTTGATCCGCAGTCCATAAGTTTGCGAGCTCAAAAGAAGCTAGTTGGAAGTTTACCTAAAGGAATAATCAAATTATTTCTGGATGAATCATCGGCTCGTTTGTTTGAAAATATATTCAGCCTAATTAAACAATACACAGGCTGTGCTAAACTATCTGCTTATTTAACGAAACAGGCGATTAAATTAAATGTTAAGGCTTTAATTCTCATATCGAATAACATCCTATCAGATGAAGAATTGAATCATGCCTATGAATTTCACGAAAAGTGTCATCAAGTGGCAGAGATTACTCTTCGTTTAGGTCGACCAAAAGACGTCTGCTACCTGGTGTTGAACCTTCAATTGATAAACTGATTCAAATGATGAAAGAAGCAAATCAAACACTAGTGGATGCAGTTAAACAGCATATAAGTCAGCCATCACAGGATAAATTTAAAGAATTTACCGATTTCTTCTGTCAGCGTGAGTTTATTGTTGAAGTATTTACCAATAAAAATAAATATTCTGCGCATATGGAGAAAATTTATGATGATCTTGAAGATATGATGGATCGTGGCTTGTTTTAATAACAATAAGCGGAAATTGTTAACTGCTATTTTCAGGAAAAAAGAAACAAGCAGGAATATCATAATTTCGAAGTAAAACAAGATGATCATTACATTTATATTTTAAATACTGCTGTGCAGTTAGATAATATGTAAACTTTAAAACAGCAATTAAGTCATTATTATTATAATCACGAATACACCATTGAGTAAATTGTCATTTAATATTTGAAAGTTGTTTTAATCACTTGCTGCCATGCTTCTACTTTTTAGTTAGTATGTTTTACTATCCACATACTTCAGTCTCCTTGACTAGACTAGAACTACTTCTACACATCCCTTCTAGGAGGCTTAATAAAGTCAAAACCATTTTTATCAGGAAAATAGAATTGTTACAAAGTGAAAGTGAGAAAAAATATGCAAGACCTAAAGGATGTTTAGTAGTTAAGGGAAGTCAACAAAAGGTTTTGAATCTAGACTTCGGACATGTAACTTTAAGCTATATCTTAAATTTTACCAGAAGAGGTTGCTCACCAGAAACAAGGAGCTAGACCTTTCAACTCTATAGCTACAGGTGCTGTCAGTGATCTGTTAAGGTTGACTTTAGTAACTGAAGTCAGCTATAAGTTGGAGTGGAAAGTATGTTATTATTTATTACCTGGTGTTTAATCAAAATAACATGCCTAAAGAATATCCACATCGTAAGGAAGGGCTGAATTTATTTTTAATCGGAAAAGCTACATTGATTTAATGTTAGGAAAGACAGGTGGGATTTTAAGAATTCCTAAGAGTTAAAAATTTGAAATTTAGTTCTGAAAACTACTCTTAACATTCAAATACTCGTTATTTAATCCAGAACATCCAAAAATATTGTGTAAGAATAAGGCAGAAAATATCTCTTGTATAAAAGATGTTATTCATACAAAAAGGAAAGCAAAGTATGCATAACTCGCACTGAAATATAGATTCGGTCTTGGATATATTTCCAGAACTGGGCTAAAACGACCAAAATCACTTCATAGCAATTTGCTTATCATCACACTACTTTTAATAAATGCGTTTTGTTCGATCAATCCACACATTCATTCGTCAGTTTTAAACTCGCGAAATTCGCCATGATAGATTATGTCTCAAAATTATTAGTGACAACTGCATCTCACCAACTCCTGCCTGAGGATATTCGAATAAACGATTAGATATTAGTCAAGTAGTTCACTAGTTCAAATTCTGACAACTTATCTGTTGAGTGGTGAGTTGAGATTCAAAAGAACTATAGGTGGCATAATGTCTAAGCGGAATAAGAACATATTTAGTAGACAAGTTGTTCGTATGAGAAACATTAACATGACTATTGCTAATTTATTCTAATACTGCGTTAAGGTAATCATATAGTGTACGGTTAAGATTTCGAAAGTCGTACCCAAACTATAACAAGTTATATTTAAGGTCCACAATATCAGAGTACAGACTACGCTGAAGTTTTTTCCCAGTAAGTTGTAAACTTTTTTCATAACTGATAAGACTTTACCTTCCAACGCTTTATCTTTTCATGAAGCACTTCAGTAGTTATAGTAGAACAGTTGAAGTGGGCGGGTACTTATTCCACTAACTGTATATACTGTCACGTAATTTTATTTCATCCGACTGCATGTCAATCAGTTTTCAGAAAAACCAATCCAGTTTCAAGTACATTTTTCAGATACCTATTAAGTATTACCCTCCTTTTGTTAGTTATTCAACTAAAATAGATTCAGATGGAATTTATTAGGGATTAATTGATTTCAAAGGAACTTTCGTTTTGAGATGATAATAACTGGAAACTTGAGAGTACTGGACAGATGTTTTGTTTTAGTTTAGAAATCTCTAGTAGTGTGCACTCATGAGTTCTAAGACAATGTATTCCATAATCATTAGGTCTTATAACGTTAACGCATCCATTCAGTTACTGGGCTGGAAGCCAACTGGTAACTTTAAACTGACTAAGGGAAAAATATTTAGTTACACTTTGGTTGCATCAGCAATGAGACGAATAGTTCTGCTAATGCATACATTAAACAATGAAACAGAATTCTTCCTAAATCAATGATATTTTCTTTTCATGAAGCATAGAGCTATCGAAGGAATTCGACTAGTGATTAAAACTAGATAACTTGACATTCAGTGGTCAATTAATGTATTTGCTTCAACGTTAAAGCCAGTCAGAAGCAATTCTAATAGTCCAATGATAACTTTTCTCATCAGTGGTTCTAAATTAAAAGTTGGCAAAATTTCTTCAACATTGAAAGTATTCTATAGTGATATGCAATAAAAGTCAAGAAAATATGACCCAGATATAATTATGTCTATTCAACCAATTTATTTAGGCTTTTCAACCTATAAAGTGTGCATGCTTCTTTAAATTTTGTGTCTTTTGATGACTGTTTTAAGTGCTAACTACGAAGCGTAAGTAAACAAAAGTTCAATCGAAATTCATTGAACAAACTTGTGCGCTTCTGTTCAGTAGGAAATTAGCTAAACTTCCTGATTAAGCTAATGATACCACCTGGCTGCAACATAGTAATACAGAGTTGACAAAAAGAATAAGAACAATGTAAAATGAACTAAAAAGACAACCGAAAGACAGGGAATATTTAGGTCTTATATAACAGAAAATGAAATAGCGGAAGCAAGAAATAACTGACTGATTCTACGGTATCTTATTCAGTCTTTCAGAAGTTTCGTTTAAATTATCCCAAAATTAATTTGCTCAGTTTTTGCACTGTCTCATCTAGGTTGATCCTAGCAAGTCATTTAGGATAATAATCAGTTACTTCACAACGTGACTATACTACCACAAACAAAACCGAAAAAATATTATGATAATTGTTGAACGACAGAGAAAGAAAGATGGAGTAAAGCATAAGTGTAAAACTGTCCACTTTCCATTTTTTCCAACTACAGACCAATGAAATCGAAAAATGCTGCAAAACATAACAGTTTCACGCTGATAAATATCCTTCAAGCTTGACATTGGTAAGCATTTGTTCTCAACACCTGTTACAGTGGAACAGTACAACTCCCTATATGAGTTTCCAGAGGTGAATGATTTCCCATAGTCATTTCATGGCAAAGTAATAGTAAAAAAATGTAGACCCGCAAGAGTTTTGTGTTCCGTTCGGGAAGTGATCATTAGTTAAGAATCCCAAATTTTCATATAATCTATGGCTTTTATTAGTTGTTAGACTGAGTAGATTAGTTCAGCTATCATTTAAATATTATCCTGATTACCAGTTGAGTTCAGGATGTTTCTTTGTTAGCTTTCCTGTAATCAACGTATTCTAGAACAATTTGTTTCAGAAACATTGAGAGAAGTTAGCTTAGAAAACTTCCCGACTGTTTTTAGTAGTAGAAATATTTATTGATAGTGTCTGTCACAAATAAAATAAAATGATGTAGACTGAAAAATTCACTGAATGCTGATATTGTTCTAGGTCATTGATACACATTGGTGATGCGTAGAAAAACAGAAATGATGGTTCAGAAAGTCTTAGTCATTTTTCCTTACCATAGTTTCAATTTACATAATTTACGGACTACATTAATACCAAAATTCGATATGATTCATTAACTCTGAAAATATGAGACACTGGTTACTATCCAAAGACAGATGATGATTGCAGTATTCAAAAAGCTCTAAATGACAATAAAGATATCTCAAGATACTTTTTCAATGATATTACTGGTGGTATACAAAATTGTAATCACCAAAAAGGTATTTAGTTCACCTAGTTATTAAGAAGTGTTAATTAAAATTCAAAGATGATTTTCACTGACCAAAATAACTTCATATAACTGGGAATAAGCAGTTATGCTTGAGATATTCAGCAGTGCAAACTTTTAAACAGTTCTGGGATTCCACCAACGTATTTCACTTCCAAAAAATATGCTGTCAATTACTTAGGTTTGATGCAATGACCAGTCTTTCTAAATTGTTACCCATTACTTCTAGGTTTTCCGTGACTGTTCAGATGACTGAGCTGATTGATGTAGACACCTGTTTGTTATTTTTCTAAAGTTTCGGTCTGTTAGAATTTTGGAACACACTAAAAATATACTTCTCAGGGGTTCAGACTCATTCAGTACCACAAAAGCCATGGCTTCCAGAAAACATCTATTCTACTTAGATTTTGAGAAGCAAACGAAAAAAAATATTCTCAACTGGATATGTCAATGTGAAAAGAAGTTACCCACCTTCACCTTTCATTTTATTTCTTTGAAATGCATAGATGACAATTCAATGCATCTTCGAGTTTTCCTTGATTGACCCTAATATTACTATTATTTTAAGCATCCTTGTTGTCATGATCATTCTTATTACAGTAGCTGGCTATTCTGAAATATAGGGATTTTCACGACGCTGCGCAAAAATTTGAATCACATTTGTAACCTGATCCTATAAATTCTACAACACAACGTCCTCAGTTGTAAAGTGGAGGTACTTTCTTATTTACCTGACTAGTCTACAGCCTCAACTTCAAAAGTTCGAGGTTATTAGATCAGAAAAATTCCTATTGATACATTCAAGAACACAAAGTCAGCGAAGAATATTTTTTTTCCGATAAATCATTCTCAGCAGCTGTACAATTGTATTGACAGTAATAACAACCATATAGATTAGGTTATCAAAACGAAATGTTCTGGGCTAAAGTAGTGGAGGGTTATAGGGTTACAAAGGGATTGCGTACTTCTGGAGAATGGCTAACTCCCAAGATTCATCGAAAATAACATGAAGCCAAAACAACAACAAGAACAAGTTCTTACTGTTCCTAA